AGTGTGTGTGTTGTCGTCGTTATTTGTCAAAGGAGGGGGGGGGGGGGGGGGGGGGAAGTCTGAAATGAGTTAAGAGGGTGTGATAACAACATAGAAGTATGAAAAAAACAGAGTGAAAGGGACAAGGAAAATTAAAATCATAGTCCAGAGGACAGACAAAAAAACATCAATATGGCATTATGTTAGTAGAGAACCCCTGGAAACCTACAATTTACTTAGGGTTCATAGGAGCTCATACTGCATGCATTAATCTTGTCAAAGATGTGTGGTAAGACTGCTGCATTAAGTGAATCTGTACAATCAATGTAATCAATAAAAGCTATTTAGATTTTTTTAGTGAATGGAATCACAAAAAGTGACTAAATGGAACAGAAAGTAATCATGTTATTAGCCACAGATTCTCAAATGCAGTTCTTACTTTCTGACCTTGTATGTTTTGGGAATATTGTTTGGTTTGAGTTCTAACATAAAAGATGGACTCCTGACTTTTCTACTTGAGATAGGACATTAGATTTGGCCTTTTAGATCAAATGCAGTCTTAATGGTATAAATTTAGCCTTACTATAGTTTTCCTTCAAGAAGCACTGCAGTGCAAAAAAGTCACTATGGATTTAATATGAATATAACAAAATACTACTCTGCTTCTAAACAAAGCTAAACAAAAACTCAAGTTTTCTTTTTTAAAAACTTTCTTTCTAAGAAAATGTATTTTGAATCTAACATGAAAATACAGATGATTTCCACTGCAATTTCAATACCACTATCACTGAATTCAGACAGTAGTCACGCACATTTTTAAAACTGCAGTTAAGAAATCCGGAGAAGTCCAGTGGGTCCTGAAGACTGAGTCTACTTTTCATTAACAGGATATATCTGGGGCCTATTCAATCATGTAGAAAGGGAGGCACAAAATATTTTGCTGAGGAAGAAAAAGACATACCTCTGTCCAGTGTGTTAAACGAGAATTTTTGCAAACTGAAGACAGCTCTCACTCTTGAAGCTCAAGAGGTCAGTGCTGCTCAAGAAGTCACAGCTCTCTTGCTGTGATTTTTAGTGCAATATTTAAGTAATTTGCACATCTGATGAACAGAGAAGTATGATAAGGTAAAATAAATTTTTATCCCATAAAAAATATAGCAATTTAGCAGGAATAGAACCAAAGCTTCTGCTTTTGTTTTTGTAATTTAGCATCACTTCAAGAAGATAAACTCCAGCTGTCAATGGTTTATTTTAGAATGGGCAGGCTCAGAGAATCAGTTCAGCAGAAGAAAGACAAAGAAGAAGCAGCAGCTATCAAGAAGTGTATGTCTAATAAGATCAGATTTCAGTGTCTGTATCTTGTACCATACAGTCTGATCACACAAGAACTTCTGAAGAATAATTTATTAGAGAGATCATGATTAACAGTAGCACTTAATTTTTTTTTTCACAAGTTTTTCTAAGTAATGAATTTTGATGCTGTATTTATACTAATGAATGGTTAAGAAAGGTTTTAGGATATATAATGATTACAAATATATTTGGAATTGTGCTTGAAGTTAGAAACAACAGACGGCTGGATGATACTGTACACCCGTATTTGAAATAAAAATAAAAGGGATGAAGCAAGGAACCTTTTGTTTTCTATTTTGTTTTTAAAATAAAAGCAAAACGTACCATTGGTTGGGTGTCGAGCAAATGAGATAGAAAACCTTTTAACAGCAGAACCGCGTGTGGTGTCTGAGAAAGAGAAAAACAGGTACCTGAAATTTGTAACAGCTACCAAAAGAGGGAGATTTTAAAAAAGAAAAGTAAGAAGAAGGGAAAAAAGAAAAGATGAGAAGTGAGTGGCATGCAAGAAGGAACCAAGGAAAAGGGCTAAAATCTAAATAGATGTTAAAAAGAAGAAAATTTGGATTGTTGGTAACTAGATGTGTAATGAAGTGTATGAAAACAAGCAGAATGAGCTGGCAATTCTGGCATACAAGGTTATTCAGGTTAGACTCAAACACTGAGAAGTGAAGTGGGGGGGAAATCAGCATGAATACTGTTTCACCTTGGAGTTATAAAGGTGTGCTTTGGTATCTTTACATTCTGAAATCTAGTGAGAGTTTCTTCTCTATGCCAGATTATCCAAAACTGAGAATCTCCTGGTCCTCTGTCATCCAAACCCCACCAAAAAAAGGTCAGGAATCCTAAAATTTTCACCATCAGTATTTAACTTATTACTTTATAATTTCATTCCTTGTATATGCTCAAAATACTTTATTTAATTTCAAGATCAATTAGCAGTGATAAAAAACAGGGTTTAAAATTATTAAAGAATTTTAAAAAAACTTTTCATTTACTTAAAAAATGTACTTGCTGGAATCTTGTGGCGCACATTACAAGTCTGTGATCTGGTGTTCAAGACAAACAAGAATTAACTATGCTATTAAGTTAAACATAAGCAAGATATGGGCAATAAAAAAGCAACAGAAACTCATAAAATTAATACTAAGGCTAAAGATTCTAGGATTCCATTAAAATCTTTAGAAGTTCAATGTGGCACATGGGTTGTGCGTGCATGTGCGAGAGTGTGCACATACCATCTATGAAGCCAGAAGAAGTCAGCTTTTTACGATGCGTACGAGCATAATCCTGTAGGTTAGGTGCACTTGAAGAACCCCCGAGCACTGAGGTGCTAAACAGGCCCGCACAGTGAGACCCTGATGGGAGTTAGAGAAAATACATACAACAACCAGGTGTTCGTCCATTCACATTGGGGATGCATGCAGCATGCAAGCAAATGGCTCTTACCACACAAAAGGCAGCTTTTGGCAGTGCCTTGGACAGGTTCACAATATGCTTGTAATGTCAAGAGTGCAACTTGTAGGCTGCAACTATCATAATTTATTGTGCTTCTACTCATGAAACAGCACAATCTGCTATATGTGCAAAGAGAGGACTCACTTTAACAAAGTGAGTTCTTGTCCTGTTTTCACTTTTGGTAAAAAAAAAGTTACCAGTTAGCATCAGTGGAAACATAAACAAAACAACAAAACCAAATGAAGATGATGATGATGACGATGATAATGATTATTGATGATGATGATGATGATGTGAAAGTTGTGTCTTTGAAAACCTGTATTCCTGAAACAAATATAAACTGGAAAAATACTGTTGATTGCTATCATCCAAATCAACCTTTGAGATGACAGGCTGCTATGAAGTACTCATGCAGTTCCACAGACTTAGTATGTGGAAATACTTCTAACCCCAACAAAATCTAAACCAAATTGGAAATACTGTATTTGGAATTCACCTACCATTACTGATATTGTTATAAACTGAAAACACTTCTAAGTTTCATCAAGTTTAACTTGACTTCCTTTCATGAGAAGACTTTTGCATGGCTCCATGCAAGAGACAGTATGTTGTTACAACTCATGCATTCCTGTCACTAAAATGGGAGTTCAGACAAATCACTGAAAGCCACAGACAAAAATATAAAAATAACTTTTGTAATCATCAAGTATTAATGAAATTTACATACAACAATGAACAAAATGGGAAAAAAGTTGTATTTTTCTTCTTTACGTTTTATTACTAGTTGAAAGGAGAAAGAATTTTTCACTTAGAACTTATCTTTTACATTTTAGATAAGTAGCAGCAGATATTTTTTTTTTAAACCAGCAATATTTCCTTTCATTACTCATAATAGTCCAGTGAGGGGAAACATTACTAGCACATGTGACCAATCACAGCCAAAATAAATTGATGCCTGATCTGTGGCAAAAGCCTTTCACAACAAATATAATACCTTAATCTACATGGATTAACTTCCACAAGCCATATTGTGACACACAAAAGAATACTCATTTAACTTTAGCAAGCATGGAATAAAAACCAGGACTTCAGTAACCAGGAGCACCTGATGTATGTATTTTACTATGGGAAAAATATAATGGGAAGAAAAGTATCACAGAAAGATTAGACATACAAAAAACACATATGTTTGCAAATAAAGGAAAAGCTACTTCTAAGTTTATGCATATAGGTGATGCATTTTTTAATACTTAATGTTTCCCATGAAAAGACACAGAAAAAAAAGCAATATTGATTTATAGTAGTGCATGATTTCATTTTTTTGCGAGTCATATGTATGCCTGTTTTAATAAAGTAATAGAAAAGCGTCACTTGAATTAACAGAATTTGAAAGAAGCCTTTGAATTATAGCATGATTCATTCTAATGCTGAAAAGAAGAAATTAATTTTAGGAGAGGAATATCTGCAAAACCCCTGATACTATCAAGGAACTTTATGTTTGTTCCCCATCCCCCTCCCCTCAGAAAAACATCTTCACTTTCATCAATTGCCTACAGTAGGAAACAGAAATTTTCAAGACAAGTGTTTTAACTGTTTCCAGAGCAGGCCACTTTAATGTAAAATATTCTTGCAAAATCCAAAAGCTCAGTCAGAAACTACAGTATCTTAAAAATCTGCTTTATGTTAAAAACAATCCTGTGTACCTGTTGTAAGAAGTACAAAATCGGTAGTACAAGGAGTCTTAAACACTTTTCTCTTTTCAGTTTTAACTTAGTTAAAAATTTTGCTGCAAAAAAATTGTCCAGTCCATAGGCAGACACTTAGCGTATGTTACTGATAACAAGTACTATTTGGTCCTGTTAACAAAAATGCTATTCAAAGAATATACAAATATAGAGAATAGCAGGCAGATGAAAAGCTGAAAACATCAAACAAAATTTCAACTGTAGGCACATACCTAGCCCACTCTGCTTTTGTTCCAGCATAGTTCTTGGTGTTCGTAAGTTACTATTGCTTTCTGATAGGACCTGGATATAAGAAAAAGAAAAATAAGGAAACGTAGAACAGCAGCATGAAACATCCATTTAACTTGATACAGCAGCCTGTTTCAGACAAACAGGTGTTAATAAGCTGTATGATAAGTGTTAGTAAAAATATGTAAAGGAAACATGAGAGATCATGCAATATCCCCTTCCGAAGGGAGTCCATTTCACATATGAGTTCCTTGCAATGAAGCAGTGCGAAGCAAGCATTCAGAATGAGAAAGGACACAGACCAAGACTGATATGAGAACAGAAATTTGAGACATTTTATTTCATTTTACCAAATGCACTTTCCTAAACTGCGCCTGTATTGAAAAAAGGAGGGGAGGGAAGGAAAGACAGACAAACTATTGAGGATACCATACAATCACTGACCATGCACAGGCTCAATCAGTACAATCTTCAGATGCTCACAGCCTTTACTGATAAAATTTTTTCCAATGTAAATAATTTTAGAATTTTCTACAATAAATTATAAAAATTTTCAAAGAAAAAGGATATGGTTACAGAACACCATCCATTGTCTTACATGTAAACAATATCTTGATATTCTGAATAGTTTTAGATCTTCACTGGTACTTCCAAAATATTTACTGCTTCTTTTTTACCCTGCTTTCTCCTCATCCCCCCATTATAAGGAACAGTTCAAAATATTGTACAAGTCAATGGATGATGTACTGTCTTGGGAGTTTCAGATACCTCCGGATATAGATGGCAAGAATTATTAGTGCTAAAGTTTTTTCCCTGCAGTAGTTAATACCAGGCCACTGAAAATATGATATATGCAAAACAAGTTTTGAATAGCAACATGAAGTACCAAATAAATTATTTTAAATGGTATTGGTTGCAATTTTTTTTTTTTAAATTTACCTACCACCAAATTAAGCAATGCTGGTTTTAAAGTCTTAAAGGACAACTAAACCAAAGCATAATTCTCTTTCATTAGGCAGTACACAAAGTCTTTTTTACTGTAGTAACATTTGCAATTCCTATAAAGAAATCAAATGTTTATGAAAGCGTGTAACACATTCAGTGGAAAAACATGCACTTTTTCCCCCAAACATTCTTGGCAAGTAATTTTAAGAAGTGGAAGGTATTACTTGAAACATAATCCATAACAAGGGATTAGATGTCCTTAAAGACAGTTGTTGCTTGGAATGCATAAAATGTTTAATGAAGTAAAGTTTAAAAACCTGTTGCCATGAGCCAAAAATACTGGATGTGAAAGCCAGTGATTTAGGGGAGACAGGGGAAGAAGTGATTTGTTCCCCTGATCTGCGTCTTCGACGCCCAGTACCCACACCACTGGTGTAATGCAGCCAGGTACCAATACACTCTGGGCTAGACACACTCAGGGGGCTCTCTTCCTGGAAGTGAGAAAGGGGGCAAAAAACAGCAAAGCATGCAAAGTTAGATTCAACAGAGCCAAATGAACAGAAAAGAAATAAACCCGATCTCCTTGCACCCTTTTTACATACTACTTCAAAACTATTAAACAGTGAAGAAAGAAGAATAATAATACAATACTAGAAAGCTATCAGTTTCACTTTTATCTCTTCATCCAACTATATATTTTACTACAACACTTTAATCAAATTTCTAGTAGACTAGTATTAGATATGAGAGAAAACATTTGTTATCAATAATTGATTCATAATTTTAAGAATTTTTCACATGTTGGAAACAAAACTTCTGTTACCCTTGAAATACTGTTTAATAGTTTTTCCCCTCCTAAGTACAATAAACTTTCCTATTTATTACTTAATAGTTTCAATTTCTATTCTATAAGCTTATGTGAAAGCTGCTTTTTGAATTTTAAAATTGCCTTTAAGACTTTACAGTTGACTCACTGGTAATAGCACCAAATTGACTGGTAGCAGTTTCACCAATTTAAAAATGTCCTAAAAATTATCTTATGTGGGACACCTTATCAGGACTTCAAGGGAGGATAGAGGATAACCATCCCCCTATGTGGTTACTACATCTACATCATTGTGTATGATTAGCAATTAATATTCTTTAAAATACAGAGTTTGCTTCCCAATGTCAATGAGCTTTACATTGTTGTTTTACAACTATAACTCAGCTTTTTTTACTTTTCACGACTCATCACAGTTGCCTTCCTTTCTGTAAATATTGCTGACTATAACCCAGAATAAAACTTCCATATAATCTCACACCTGAAAGTGTCCTTTCAAATTAATGGACATAGGTGAAAACAGAATTGCCTTACAGGAGGAAAAAAAAAAAAAAAAGGGAAAAAAAAGGAAAAAAAGGAAATAAATAGAAAAAAAAGTTCAAGGCAGTTGCAGTTTAAGTTGCAGTGAATTTTTAAAATTGGTCCAAAATGCCGTTTAGTTTAAATATTCCAAATACTAGTTTTTGAGATTTCAATAGGCCAGATGAAACTTCCTATTTTACTTATAAGAAAAAAAATGTTTTATGTATGTCTCCTCTAAATTGGCTATTTCCTTCCAGGAAATAAGCAAGCTCTGAATGCTGAAACACATTCAATTGTAACATATAATATCTGCACAGTCAAAACTTGGCAATTTGTGCTTCTGATATCTTATGAAAATTAACTCCCATATAATTTATGAAAATGGTTGAAAGTCTGAAGTAATAGACTATTAAGCTGTGTATAAGTGAACTCATAGCCAGGAGGGGAGTTTGCATGATCATCACAAAAGCAGCTTTTAAAAATCAAAAATATTGATGTTGTGAACATTTGTTTATGAAAAAACTTGGAAATAGAAAATGTAAGACATTAACATTTATTATGTCTGTTAATTTATGGAAGTCATGTGAAGTTATACAGATATCCCTACAGAAGGGAATCATGCATCTTTTTCTCTCCATACTGCCAGTAACCAAATAATTTCCATATCTGTAACACTTTTATGGCATACAGACAACTCATTCCCAACACAAATATGAAAGAAAAAGCTTTTGGTGTGAATCTTTATTTCTGATGCTTTTAAGCAACTGAATATGAGGCATTAAGAAGCTGTTAGTCTGCTTCTAGCATTAATATCACAGAAGTGCCACTATGCACCATCTGAATTTTCACGCAGCCATCCCAATGGTATCAATGAAACAGCTGTGCATCTCCCCACCTCTGTGACATTAAGCCATATCTGTTAAGCACACCTATATGTCATGCTTTCAAGACAGCAAACTAGATTATTCAAGATGTTGCCTACAGAATTCATGAAACACAGACCCCAGCCACTTAATAAAACAAGCTTCCACTTTATCTTTCTTACCTTCAAAAGCTTGACAAATTGAGTCACTTTCACTCCACAAGAAAGCAAATACAGCAGAAGATATCTCACCTCTTGCACCTCCCCTACCACCCTAATCCCTGTGATACCTTTCAGCAAAATAACACTGAAAGTTTGCTCAATTCCCAGTAGTAGCTGTCTTATAAGGATGAATAGAAAAGCAATGTATGTTAGTTTGTAGAGGTAGGTTTAGATTGAAAGTCTTCATTTTCAAATATCAACTTTTCTAAAATGGCTTTAAAAAAAAATAAGTCTTGTCATAAAATATTTATTTTAAAAAATATCCCTTCAGAGAAATTGTTGTCATGGAGGATTTCCCACCGAGTAAGGCCAAACCTTCTGTGAGATGTATCATGCTGGTTCTGTGTAATCAAAAGCAGAATTACGTTTGGTTTTGTTTTCTTAAAAGCAAGCAAAAGTTAATGTTTTTGACAGAAATTATCTGGAACACCAGCACTTACTTCAACAGAACCAATCTTCCTGGATCTTGGAAGGGGTGACTTTCTGTGTATATGAATTGGGTCTGATACCATTGGCTTGAACATCACTACTGATCGATCTGTTTCATCTCTTTTAGGAGCATGTACCTCCTCATCACTATCATTTCTATGAGAAGTTTTCTTCGAGCCTGCATTCTACAGAAAATACATAATTCACTTTCAATTTGTGTACACACCTTCAAATAGACAGGCTCTTAAATAAATATTCTGCATAAAGATGAAACAAGCTGATTTTAAAAATACAAGATGTCACATTACTAAAAAACTGCTCTAGACTTTAATAATCTGTATAATAATCTGTTTCTTCTTTATTTTTCTATTTAGAAGAATTCCAGACAAGCTTTGCTCTCATTCCTTTCTCAAAAAGCAGTCATAACTCCATGTACCTGACCATGTACCTTGGAAAACATCAATCTTTTCTCAATAATCTGCATGTCAGATTACTTAAATATGTCTTACATTTCCCAGAATATTATTCATGTGGCACTCTGATTCTGCTATCACTTTTCTTAAGAGTATTTTGTATTTCTAGTAAAAATTCTGGGAAAGCTTTAGAACATCCAAATTATCTCTGTCCTTCACCTCAGCACCCATTCAAAGTGGAAAATATTTGGACTACTTATCTTTTACTGCACATTTTTCTATTAAAAAAAAAAAAATCACACTTGTATTTTTTACATAACAATTTTCCAATGTTTATTTTAGGTATGTCCATATCCAAAAAACGTAAATTTTGCTTTATAGAAAGACGTAACTATTACCTCTCTGGAGGCAGGTCTGTATCCATATCCAGACGGTAAATTCTTATCTTCCTCACAGCCTTTAGCTCCTGGACTGAAATGCAGCTCTACATGAAAACGTTCTTCCGAAGAAAGTTCCTGAAGTAAAATAATTAAATAGATTTATACTTTAGCACATAGCTCAGCTTTACTAATATCTGAAGATATTTATCCATTTTAAATACCTTATTTGGATCCTCATAAAGCATGATAACAATTTGTGTCATGTAATTGAGTTCATTAACCACATTTAAGTAATCCATAGCTCGTTTCCATTGTTCATCTTTTGATTCCTTATGGAGAAAAAAAAAATATCAACAAGTAAAACTCAGCTACTTTCTTTAAAAAGACTGATGATCTCACTTTTCCTCCACTTACATAGATTTTCATAGCAGAAGTGCAAAGCTCATCATAGCTAAGGAAAATGCAGAGGTACAACAAAAAAAAACAACTATGAACCTCCATGAGTGACTTAAAATTGCTCATCAAACAACTGAAAAGTGAAGAGCAGAACTTTTCATATATTATTTCAGTGAGTCTTTCATGGTTTTTCGCCAATGATGATACATAGACAGAGGCACTGTTTTCAATTCTCCTGATGAGAACTGCTAATTTTACAACAAATTCATTTCAGCTAGCATATTGTGAAAAATGTTTTTATATATCACACTAACAGAGATACCAGTCAAAGAGTTAGTAAGCAAAGCTTTCTAGTATATAAAGGAGGTACAACTGTCACATTCCAAACTACTTAAATGAATAGTCACCTTTTTCATGCTGTAGGAAAAAAAACATTTAGTAATTCACCTTGAAGAAAAATTAGAAGTTTATTAAACTTATTATTATTAAAAGACTTAAACTTGGAGTGTACCTGTTATAGCATGTCACAGAAGTTTATAAATGCTTTTGCCATCGCTGAGTTTAGTCATACATTACCAGAAGCAAGTATGCCAGTATGCCAGTTTGAAAAGTAGAGTATAAGTCAAGCTGTATCTTATATACAGCATCACAAACCTATCTGCTTGTATCTCCTCCAAGAGCTCAGTTTAAGTAATTTCTGAATCAGGAGACCTTATCTTTTTCAGTGTCAAAGACTATCAGATGGAGAATAATGCACCACCTTTGTAATATTCTTTAACAGTATAGGATAGTAAGAAAATTTGCTGTACAGGAGGAGCTTTCAGCAGTCTTGAAATTTGGTAGGGGTGTCTTGACAATATGTCAATGGTCAAAAATAGTAAGCCAGTGCAAAAGCAAATTCAAGAGAACCCTGAATCATAACTTAGGAATAAAAGTTGGAAGAATTACTGGTGACAACAGAAGACAAAAAAAAAGTATCTGGCTTTTCCACATATATTTTTGATTCTAACGCATATAGCCAATGGAACACAGCATTACTTTGACGGAATCAAAACATACCAATTAATGTGCAATTTGCAGTATGTTTCTGCATAAGTAATAGAAAATCAAATGTTTGAAAAAATGTGATACATTTCAGAGATACTTAAGGTTTCAGCTGATACAGTCAGAAGAAGATTCAGATTCCTCTCTAAATATCAGGGTTCCAACAGAGAAACTTACATCACATAAGGCACCATAACGAAGGGTGGATAACAGGGAGTGGACATGACTCTCACTGGTGAAATACAGTCGGGTACGAACATGGCGTTCTGGGGACATAACACCCCTGGAGTAGCTTAAAAAAAGAAAAATGTTATTAGATAATGTTATTAGACCATGATAAGATGTGTCTTTATTTTCAAAATAGCTGTAAATAAATAAATAAATAAATAAAGAAATCTTTCTAATTTATATGAGCTAAAAAGATACTTCAAATATGGAAGCTATAGACTGTGTCCAATTTTCATGGGAATTAATGTAACCATGTAAAAAAGTAAATGGCTTACAGAGGATGAAGCTTATTTACAGTGTCATCATCTTGAGTTCTCTGAAGGTCAGAACGAATTTTTCTGACTAGAGGAGTGCAGTAACCTTTGGCAATCTCCAGTTTCTCAGCTTTAGAAATCCCATATTCCTGTGTAAAAACAAATTGACTTTTACAATTCAGTTAAAGGTTAAAATGCCTTCCAATTCAGAGCTTCTATATTAAAGCAAATTAGTCATCTATTAGTTTGCTCTGGCTACAAATAATTTTATTCAACATGATCATTGATGTAGCTTCAATGAATTTGCAGATTGCCTTTTTGCTGTTTGATTTGATACAGAGAAGAAGTTTTTCCTTCACTAGTTAAATAAAAGAAGTGGATTTACCTTCTGGTATGATAAAGCTCTTTTTCTTAACCAAAACACCTACAGAGTCATTCCTCCTTCTTGTCACCATGCCCATCTCCTATCCTGCCCCCCCGCAATGCTGCTTTTTTGGTTTTTGCTTTTTCCTTTCTTTTAATGAAACTAAACTTTTAACTAAAGAGACATATTTTGTATGTAAGTCTTAGTTTGGGGTAAACCAACCCAGAGAAGATCTATTTATGTCAAAAAATAACACAAATAGTATTTATGTACAACTGTGAAATTACTACTGATATTAAATGTATTTAAAAGTATATTCTTCTAGGAGTTTCATACTCTGTGCTACACAGAGTATGAACGTGCTCTCACAGTTAGAATGAATCTTCTTGTTACCCAAGAGAGGAAGAGAAGCCCTCTCCCTTTGCATTATGCATGCTGGCAAGTTTTCTTTTTTCTTCTATCTTCAGTATGTGTCCTCATTTTTACCTGCTCTTCTCTAATTTTCTGTTCAAAATTTCAGCTTAACAAACCCACAAAACACAATTCTAACCGTCACTACTATTTTTGTCCTCCATGTCGAATTTGAGTGATGGGGAGAGGAAGAATTGCCTTCACATGCTGCACACAATATGGGTAAATACCTCTGTTATAAGGCTGTTCTGTAATTGCAGGGACACCTCGAGAATACTTTAGTTTGTTCTGTCCTGTTATCACAAATCAATTTCATGTCCTGCCACATGCAAGATTTTACAGCTAACCCAAGTTTAACAGCCTGCAGAGCATATGACTTTAATTTGTCCACTTCTGGCCTGAAATTCTATGAAATTTAATGTCTACATTCACGTCATGGAATGTTAGCATTTTGAAAAAGCAGAAAGGTCTTTTTAAATTAAAACAGTTTAAAATATGTTAAATTACACAGATTAGGATTAACAGTGTCATTTGCAAGGAGCCTAAAAATGAAATTTCTATAAGCAGGAGAAATTAAATTAAGCAGTTTCAGAAAACAGAATTATTCACAAAAGCAACAGTTAAATCCAGGATGAATGGTGGAGATGAACCATTTTATTTTAATACACTGGTGTAAAGGAAGGAGACTTGTTCACACCTTAAATTTCTAAAAAAATTCACTCTGAACACAGGTTTATTAATTATGAATGACATTTTTCTTAAAAAATCCCAGCTTGCTAGTGAAAAATGAGAGAAAATGTTAAAGGCTTCTATTATTGCAAAATGTGGGAGCTGCAAAAGAAAATACAAAGTAGACATTTTCACAAAGATTTAAAAAAGCATTTATTCTACACGTTTTTCTTCTATTTAATAACTGAAAATGCTTACCTGAGGAATCACAATGTCAGCTAAAGCCTTTGAAAGCCTATATAATTCCATTGTGTTTTCTAATTTTAACGATCCATTGTGTTGTACATCATATTTTATACAGTCATAAATATCAGGAATTTTGCTAATATCGTATCTTCCATTTTTTGTTTTGAAGTCTTTTTCCAGCTTGGCCCACCTACGCAACATCAGTTCTAGCGTTTCACTGTGGTACAGCTGAATATCTGGATAGACATGTATCTCTTATAAGTAATTAAGGCCATTCAAGTAACAAAACGACATTTTAATTACATAGAAGTAATGACTGTATTATAGAGGGCTCAAAATAAGTTAACTGCATCACTATTAAGAAGGGACAGCTGGGCATAACATTAATTTTACTGCTGAAAGCATCACAATTACATAACTCCACTATGATAGTAAAACACACTGCTGCAGAAATGCACCACTGGCCCTTAAACATAAGACATATAACTTAGCCTTAGTACAGTCAACTCTTCCTATTTTGTGGAATGCCGAGTTTCAAATCACTAAGATAAGAACTTTTGCAAACACTGGAATTTCTGAACACCACAAAGCCCTTACCTGCAATATAACCACATGTTCCTTTTGCTTTTTACTTCAAAACTATGCATATGAAATAAAGACTGTGAAAATACTTAATCCATTATTGGTTGACTCATGTTCTGCTAAAAGTGAGTTTAGTGAAGGAAAGTTATGTTACAGCTCTCTTTCATATATGTTAACCAGAGAAACTAAATACAAGTACAAAAACATTTCAATACCTGCAGACTTTGGGTCTTCCATTCTCTGCCTGATCTGAGAAGTCAAACTCTGGATCAAGTAATAGACCTTGTCACAAGTCTTTACAGGATTTTTAATAATCTGCATTGATTTTATCAGTGAGATGCTTCCAGATGGAGTGAGCTGCAATTTGAGATAAACACAAAATTAACTGAATAGACTAGATTTGAAAGACCTGGTAAGATAAGATGAAACATGTCAAAGATACCAAGTATGGGAGAAAAAGCACTCAAGGAGGTTGCTATGAATATTTTTAATGACTTATCAATTATCTTTTACCTTTGAGGCATTAAGACAATACATCAAAATGCAGTACCATTTGCTAGAGATTCAAAGGTAATAAGAAATTCATAGAGCAACTAATTCTATAAAGTAAATGTGGGTAACTACAGAATTCATAAAACTATTTCTTTTATTCCAAGACACAAAAATTGGGAAGATGTTTAAACCTTTGTATATACTTAGCAAGCTTCCACATCTTCCTTTCAAATAAGTTCTGTATTCAAAAGCTTACAAAAGTAAATTCTGTTAGAAATGTTGTCATTAGGCTACATGCCTCACAAAATTTTTTTTGCTCTATAGGAACCAGATTTGCAGTAGTAACTGGTATCGTTGTTTGCCTACTCCTGTCTTAGGTTTTTATTTCTACAGGACTGTAGGACAAAAACACAAAAAAGAAGCCTTTAAATGCACATATATCAACAACATATGAGATGTTCTTCAGAACTGAATTCATTATAGAAATGCTAAAAGCTACAAACTATCACCATAAAGGTGAATGTCACTAAAACAATAAAGTAAATGTATGTGTGAGGTTTAGCCTAATTTTTTTCAGAAAAGTCAGCAGAGTCCAAAGTGACCAACGATATAAACCAGTAATTTAAACACAAAACACACACTTATTTGCATTTTCCTCAGTTTCCTGAAATGGATGGAGTAATTTGGACGTGGAAAATTTCCACTCTCTTCCTAACAGTAAGCAGTTCCTATCTCTGCTTATTATGATTTAAATCAAGAAATTGATTATTTATACATAATAGAGAGGGAGGCACAGGAATAAACCCCATACAATTTTTCCAAATCACAAGTAAATTAGAAAGCCTCCACAAATAAATGAAGTCCCCAAAAGTTTTTATTGCTTTATAATCCCAAAGGTTAGTAACTTTCAGTGACCAAAGAGTACTCTATTAGTACTAGCAACATTTCAAACCTGATTATATCTATAAAACAAACATCAGTAAATCCTTGCATTTTCCAATTACTGTTGAATCTACTACTTTATATATTTAAATGAATCCACATGGAGTATATACATATTCTTAATTAATTTAATTAATCTCAATACTTTTTTCAAAAATAGCAGTTAAAAACCTCATTTGAGGACTTGTATTTAGTTGCTATATGAGACAGAGTATGAGCAATTGAAAGAGAAAGAAGTTTCTTAACTATAGCAAACAATACATGTAAAATCAGGAACAATGATGTGTACTAAGTCAACATAAACTATATTACTATGTGCTAATTTAGCATGTTAATGACACATTCACTTAAAGTTTTCAGTATCTTAGTATTCTAAGTAAAAACAAATAGACCTTGCAGCAGATTAATGATTGAAACACCTGCAGCCAGTAGGAAAACATTTTGTTACATCACACACTCACAGTAAAGATCACACAGTAAAGATTATAAAAAATGCAAACAATATAATGTTGTTTCTTGAATAACTAAAATATTTTTATGGAATAGTGAAAAAGGCTTACAAAGGAGATCCCTGTATACTTCTTCAAAGTTTGTTGCTATTCTGATTATCCAAATCACAAAACAATATATCTACAGCTACAATAGGTATAGCCACCTTTGCAGTTCAAAGTATTCAGTACTTGCAAGCACACAAAAATTTTGCAAAACAGATACACAAAATCACTGATCAGTACTTTTGCACAGACATCTTCATAATTATTTATATTATTTCATGGGAAACTAATCATATGCTAACCTTATCATAGTCATCAGCAGTAAATTCTCTGTCTCTCTGGAGAATTTCATGAAGCCTTGCTTTAACACGATGTTGACAGCTGCTTAAAGAATCACTGTCACTGTCCAACAGACCATTCATATTGGCACTTTTTACCATCTGGACAAGAATAGGAGTCAGCTCTCCCTCTAAGGCCAGTAGTCCCTGAAGCAAACAATACAATTATTCAGGCAAATAAATGAAGATGAAAAAAATGAGTATCTTAAAAGAAATGCCCAAAACATTAATTTAAATTCAAGATGGTATCACTCGGCTATAGGTTAGATAAACAGGGGCACAATGCATGTAATTACAGAGAAATGGCTCCCTAAACACTACTGGTGTGCAGGATTGATACAGATGATGCAACAGAAATCGTGACATGCCACATAAAATGGTCTCCAACACCAGCTGTTCAGGTCTTGGAGAGTGGGGAGTGCAGGTGCCTTCTCCCCAAGGCTGGAAGCAACAGCTGCCTGACTTGTGGGTGACATGCTTTGCTCAAGGGACTTGCCTTACCAGAGAGGAGCTATGGGAAGAGTTTGGAAACTCTTAGAGCTTAGATAGCATCTAGCAGGATAAACAGCGGATAGGTAGGGTCTTACAGAGACTCTACAGAGGCCAAAGCCCAAGCCATGTGAGTCACAAGACAATCAAAGGCCTTGAACAACAGGAGAATGGAGAATTCCAAAATGAAGAAGGCTGGAAACTTTTATAACTTTTCTGGCAATGGAAGGGCTCCAGAATAAAGAAGGAAATGGTGTGGTGTCTCTTCAAGCCTGCTGACCAAGGGAAAGCAGCTCAGATGGCTGAAATATTTCTGTACAAGCACGTGCAGCATTGAAATAAATAGGAGAAACACAAAGTCAGAACACTTGTAGAGCTTTAAGTTAATTCAAATTACAGAGATACGGTAGAATATTTCACACTAATGGACTTTTGCTGTAACTAGACACAGGATCTCTTGGAAGCCAGGTAGGCAGCACAGTATCATGGCAGGCCTCTGCTACAGACCAGCCAATTAAAAGGGGAGACGGATGAAACCCTCAACACAAGTGGAGAAAGCCACATTAACTGCAGGCCTTGTTTCCATGGGTGCTCTTGGCCCTGGATACCTCCATGGCAATATTGCAGGGGACAAGGAATCAAGATTTCTGGAAAACACCTAGGACAATCCTTTGACAGATGTTACTGATGAACGGCGGAACACAGGCATTGCCCTAGACCTGTTACTCACAAATGTCAGCAAAGTAAAGGTAGGTAGCAGCCTTGGTAATTGAAATCTGATGTTTTAACAGATCCATGGAGAAGTGAACAAGACAAATACCTGCATTAGAGCCCAGGACTTTAAGTAAGCATACTTTTGCTTATTCACAGAATCTTATGGAGATGAGCCTTGCAGGACAAAAGCCTTAGATGGGGCTGCTTAATTAAAAACTGTCTTCATCTGCTCAAAGAACTTCAAATGTTTGGCACATTATCTGGATACTTTTTCACCCTGAACTACTCTTTGAAAATGCCTTTTTCTAATAAACTGTAAATCTCTCCCACATTTCACAAGAAAAAAACAACCCTGAGAATATTAGAGTTTTAGAACTGAAAGTATCATTTCACATTGTACCTTTGCAAAAGCTGCTGCAGTCATCTGAACTCGTCCCTCATCAGAAGCATAGATTTTGAGATCATGTCGGTAAGTGCTATGTAACCTAAGTAAACCACATCCAGGAAATCCAGCGTAATCTCCTAGCAAACAAACATGTTGCTCAAACTCTCATCATTATCCTCAAAAGTAATTTATGACACTCAATTGATTTTTTTTGAAAATTATTATTATAATTTTCTTTTTACCTTGTCCACCAGGATACATACACCTGAAAGCTCTTCCAAGCTCCTCTGCTTGAACTCTGCCTGCAGGGGTCAGCTCTCCTCCCCATTTTAGGACCAGAAGCAGGGATGGCTCATTTCTTCTATTATCTAGTTGTACAGAGGGAGAGGAGCTTAGTAGTGAAGTATATTGTTAATTTTTTTTCCCAAATGAACAAAAAATATTTGGTCTATGAAAAGCTTCGTCAAAAGATCTCTTCAACATCATGAATCTTTAATAGCATTCTAACATTAAGGAAATACTGACCTGTGAACTAAACAGGCACTTTAAACAGAGAAAACTAAGTATTTAATACTAAAAGTATTAACACTATGAAGAAAATATACAAGAAAACTATTTAGCATGAATCTGAAGCAAAAAGTAAATCAAGACACAAAAATTAAAAAAAATTGGATGCTAAGCACCCTATAGTATGTAAATGTTTTAAAGATGGTAATTGTTGAGTGAGATTTTCTTATGCTAGCTCACAACAGTACAACTACATTAAGGTGCATCACTGAAATTTTTTTCATGTTACTCTTCTACTGCAAAAGAGCATGGTTAGTACAGTTTTATGTACACAATTTGGCCGATTGAAATAATGTGAATATGTGTTAACTATTCAAAAATTCTTTCAAAACAAAATATTCCCTCCTCTTGATAGTAAAAGATTTTAAAATCAAAGAAAATTTGAGGAGTTAGAAAGAAAGTTAGGCTTGTCAAGCCCTGGGAAAAGTGTTAAAAGTAGGCCCTGGGAAATGTTAGGCCTTGTGCTTGATAGATCATGTGAAACTGCACCTGTGTAGTCGGTATATGATAAATTATATAATTGTTAGATGTGATCAGATATAATTATCGTTTAAAGAATCATGAGAAACTATGTTAAGGGTTTGGTTGGTTAAAATCAATGCATACAATAGAACAATGTAAATTTAGTAATTAATATCAAAGTTATATAACGATAGAGTATAAAAACATGTTCAACTCAAAACCAAATCGGGTCAGATTTGGGTATGTGTACCCCTGACACCCAGAGCTCTCAATAAAGCACCTTCAAATAATCATTCTGTGATTCCATGTTCCTGAACACTAACACTTTTAACATCAAGACATGTAGTCTGTGACTATTTATATACATACAATATTAAGTGATTATGTACAAAAATAATACAATACCTTCCTCTTCACTGGAAGTCTTAGGGCAGCCATGAGGAAGATATGTTAACTGAACTTTGCGATTTATGCCTGAAAAATGCCCATACCTTAAGTGGGAACAGGGGAAAATGAGAGGGGAAGAGGAAGAGAAACATTTTATATATTTTCCTCCAAAACTGCTAAAATCCTGTAATAGGCTATAATAAATCTCTGTTGGTCAATGGCTTGTGCATCTGACCAAAATTTATTGAAGTAGTCCTTAGAATAAACATTAACTCAACATGCACAGAATTAGCAGAAATAACAACTATGCTATAATGAAACATCTTAAAATACTATCTAATTCTACTTTTTACAACACTGAACATACAACTGGAACCCACACCCCGCCACCCCCAACAACAGGCAGTATTGGACATGGCACAAGTAATTTGTCTATTCAGATCTAAAACCACAGTGGCTATCAGTATCCAGAAACTGGTCTCACAGTGTAGATGGCTACTGGTTTTATAGCCCATTAAGTTCTCAAGCAAAACTCAGTATTTAAAACAACTATAAATTTCCCATATTATTATTTCAATATAATAATAATCTTTTTTTAATTAAAAATTCTTACTACCATTTCACAGTCTAAGATCCCAGATCCTAAACAAACCTTAACGTCTTATTTTTTTTCTGTTGTTTTCTTTGTTTTGTCAGGTTTTTCAAGGTTTTTTTTAATTACTAAATATTTCAGGCTTAGTATACAAAGACTTAATTATCTTCAATCCTCAAATTTTGCTCTAAGTAGGCAAGTAAGCATGGTGAAAGTTCTTACTGGCTCTATCAGACGTCATTATGTCACACTGCAAGAAGCAGACCCTGCTTACAAGTATTTTTATTTTAAAAACACGTGGTAAGACAAAATTTGACATCAATGAAAGTAACCTCTTGTTGAATGTATACTGAGACACTAAGTTAGAAAGTCAAGAAGAAAAAACTAGAGTGATGACCCATTTCAAACATGACATCATCTCTCTTCAAAAACTTTGTGCTTGAATTATTTTACTATTATGTATCAATATGTACATATATGTTCATATTATATATAATATGTATCAAATACATATTTGATAACACTGCAATCCACACAGTAACTGGTGAAACAAGTCATAACAGCATATTCAACTTCATTGCTATGAAACCTGAAAATTAGCCACTTACATTTCTAACACAGTCTTTAGCTGTTCAAGTTTTGCTTTACTTTCTTCAATTTCAGAATCATTGTTTTGCCCAAGTTCTACAAGGAGCTGTCTTGCTATATCAAGCACTTCCTAAAGGAAGAAAACATAGGATTTAATTCAATAAATAGGTTTCTACTTACAAAGTATCATAGTAAAAAAATAAAGACAAACTTGCCTGCAACTGTTTTGGTTTTTTCAGTTTCAGTTTTCCAGATTTATATCCATCACATTTTTCAAAGAGATCAAAAAATCTTTAAGATAAAGAAAAGTAATTTTAAAATTCCATTAATAAATTAAATTACTACTATTTGTACTGGAGGCTCTAAAGTGGTATAAAATTAGTACCCTTACAGTATTTGAAAGCCAGGTTAAAACCTGCAGTACAGAGGTCAAACCAAGTTTTATCCAAATCCCATCTCCCTAAAAAGTCTTCAATGCATTAGGGAAATAAGACCATTGAAAATGTACTGTTTCTGAATTGCTAAGTATTGAAAAAAGAAAAGAGGATATTCTATACATTTGAATGATATACTATTTGAATATGCAGCTATATCAATTCTTAATCTTCAAGAATGAGCCTAAACAGAAGTAGGGTCCACAAATACCAAGTGAGTAGTCTTACAATTCTTCAGCATGTTCTGAATGCAAGAATTTAGTTCCAAAGTACGTAATTCCCTTTTACTAAAACTGCACCTAGTTCCAGCTTAATTATTCTTCTTATGAATGCCAGCATAGAGATGGTATCTACCAGAAATTCAGAGTCATTAAACTTTGACAAAAACAACTACCAAAAGTAGTATGACATTGCATTCAAGAACAGTTATGATAAAAAGCAGAAGGCAGAAGTCTTGGTCTAATGGAGAGCCAGAAATATTCTCTGCTGCACTATTTTTAACGAAGACATTTATAGACACAAATGCATTTTCCATAAAATCAAACAGGACTGTTTACAAGGCACAGCATGTGTTGAAGGAAATCTGCACAAGTTGACAGTCCTGCTGGAAAGAGAGGTGCATACTTGTAATTATTTGCAGTAACTAAAACTGTTAGATTTAGAGGAAAACAAAACAAAAAAAACCCTTGCAATTGTGCAGTTCCTGGTCAATTCACTGCTTGCTTAGCCCTAAAATCCTATACTCTAAAATATGGAAAACTGGATTCTACTTACCTCTGATGTTTTACTTCCATTTTCATTTTTTGCTTTGGTGTTCGATCCCCGTGGCGTATTACAGCTATAACACATCTAAGCTCCATCCTGAAATTTCAAGCGCTGTATTTAACAAGTCTGTACACAAGGGTCTTTTATTTAATGTTAAACCAACCACAATCAAGACAATTGACAAAGCTGTAGTCATCTGACATAACTACAGAAGTGATGGAAGCATATGCAAGAATATATGGTTAACTGAAAATGATGTAAAGTATAAAATATAAATATTGATTTTAAGACTTAGGTAACTATAGGATATCTACTTTAAGTAGTTTTTAAACAACAATTTTGAGGATCATTAAATGAGAGAGCATGTTTATTAGAAGCGCATATTAAGTTGGTGCTAGAACAATGATTAGCAGTGGAAGCTATGCATAGAAGACGCTACACTAGAAAATCTGCTGTTCTATACTCAGCTTGACTAAAGGTGAGAAACTCTGACTGCTGGTATAGCAACTGTGATTCCTTCCTTGTTTTCAGCACACACAACAAGCATTCATAGGCCAATGTGGGCACACCTTGTAAAGAGAAAAAAAGATTCACAGAAAAGTTACATTGAGAGTTTGAACAAGTCAGGTGTAGCTACTCTTTTCTTACATTGTTCCAGAGGTGGTTGGCACAATAGGAATGTCTTCAGCTTCCAAAGGAATTGACCATGGTATTTGAAACTGGGGAGCAAGTTCTCTCATTATGATGTTTCTAAAATAGAAGTTAAAAATAAAAAATCAAACTAAATAAGTTCAAAGCACAGCTTATACAACACACAGAAACTCCAAACCAAACCGATTATATATATGCATTTTTATTAATTTAGTTATTCATTATTAGCAGCCATGAATGTATGCATACATGCATATTTTTCTTTTAATTGCGTAATAAAGATTACTTAATAACTTAGAGCTATTACAACTACTACAGGGACGCTAGACTACTGGCCCTATATTGGTAATGAACTTCAGCTTTTCAACTCTGGAGCCTAAAATAATTCCTTGGATAGGAATTAGTTTTGTTCATTTGTATATGCAGACAATTGGCTTTACTGCCTAACTGAAAGTGCCTAACAATAACCAAGCCATTCTCATCAAAGAGTTAACTGCTATCTTTTACCAGTAGTTTCTCAAAAGTTTTTGTGACAAAACTGGAAAAGATAGGTAGTCTCTTGTCGTAACCATAGTGACAATGCAGTCTCCGCCTCAAGAAGGATGGCATGTCTAATATTTCTAATTTGTCTACTTCTGTTTCACAAATATTTCATCAAAGTACACTGAACTCCAGATTAGTACCTACATAAGAAGCAGTAACGCAGAGAAAAAAAATGTCCAAGTTACAATAGAATAAGCCAAAATATAGTTGCTAAATATCCTGAAAAAACTTGCAAAATCCTTCACATAATAAGATTCCAGACAATTAGATCATGCAAAAAGATAGGCTGTATCTCATCAGTCTTATTATAAAGCCAGTCACAGTGGGCTTAGCCTACTTTGAGGACAACATTTCCTTGGCAGAGCTGTATTCCAAATATTCTATGATCCCTTGTTACACCTTTTTTTGCCTCCTGTGTCAGAGACAAAATGGTATGATAGAAGACACTTTGATTCTATTTCAGTTTGGTTTCGCTTATTTGTGTTGTAGTGCTTCACCACTTGAAAAGATCTCATCTACCTTTAAGAACTTCATCTTGCTTTCAAAATACTTATTCAGCCAGATTTTAGGAATAAGTAATTTAGTTAGTAGTTACTTATTGACTTAGGATTCTCTTTAATGATTTTTTTTTTTTAATTTTTTGATATGTTGGGATCACAGTTTTGGAGACAGACACACGACAGAACACACCAAGGGTCATGCAACAACAGCTGAAGTTTATTGATGGGATTGGCTAGGGTCTCCTGCTTGAGTTCAAATACAACCTTATCATTGCCTCACCCAGGGACTTGTTTACATCTAGGCTGGTTGAGTTTGGGGGTCTGCCATGGCCAAACTTATCTGTGCAGCTTCAGACCAGCTGCAGATGCCACATATGTTAATGACTTTTAGTCATTAATTGACTAATAGTAATAAGAAATAATGAATAGTACTAAGTAAATAATAGTAGTAAGAAATTTGGCCGTATATAAACGACAATAATAGGCAAGGGACTTAATAAGCAAATCTGAAATAAATCAGGAAACTCTTACCCCAGTATCTTAGCACAATCATCATAGTATTTCATGGAGTTTTTCACAAAACTGAAGCCATTCACATCACAGACATAGGATTGTCCATTAGCACGCAGCAAATCAAAGCCACAAACTGTTTGCTGTTTTAAAGAATAAAAGCTCAAGTGATTTAGGATTGCTTATTCTAAATGAACTTTATATTTTAAGGGTATTCATTTGGAAACATAACAAAAACATGACACACTTTATACTTAGTACCTCATGTAAGTTCCATGTTAGGTTCACCCACATCATGCAGACATCTTCCTGTTTTTAACTTTCTATCCCCAACTTTATTTTATGCCTCCTGCATATCCCTAGCTGTCTTAGTATTAAAGGCCAAGTTTACACGAGCACAAACTTCAAGACTTACAGCAACCATGGGCCTACAAGCCCCCCTTTCTGACAGTGGTTTCCTACTACCTGTACTTTTTAAGGATGGCAGGCAAGAAATGACAAAAAAATTTGAAGAACCATTTTTGTCAAAATTTGACAGGATAGTTTTGACATACTATTGATATATAATATCTATAATACCGTAATATAATTAGTAGAGGATACTAGAAGCTATTTCAACAGATTACTTTTTAAAATCTCAGAGCCCACTTTGCTGATAGAGGCTCACACCCTACAGGCTCCAGAATGCCATCATAGTCACACACACAGGTAAAGGAGACAGACTGAAAGGAGACTTTATAAAACAGGTGAAAGGAGGATGTTGGGGGTTAGGTGTTTGGTTTTTTTTGTTGGTTTGTTTTTTTTTTCTTACTTTTTTTTTTTTTTTTTTTTTTTTTTTTTTTTTTTTTTTTTTTTTTTTTTTTTTTTTTTTTTTTTTTTTTTTTTAGTTCTGGCTTGCCTGTGGAATTTTTACCATTAGTTGTGGGGACACCCTAACTGTGAGTACTTGGTGGGTGCTTGAGTGAAGACAGAGGTCGGCCGGGCCCAGGTGGGGAAGGGGGCAGGAAAAACAGGAGGAGGGGGACAGTTTGGTGAGCTTTCTTCAGTTTCAGAGAAGGACACTTTGGGTGCAGAGCTGCTGCGGTGGGGAGAAGGGAATTTTCGCCATCACCCAGACGGAGCTGCTGCTTCTTCTCCTCCCCTCTTTGTTGGCGACCTCGCACCCCCTGTCCTGCCAGGATGTGTGGCAGTGCCAGGCACCGCCACGGAGCTGCTGATACACCTCATCCACCGGCCCAGGATCTCTGCTCATCCCTGCTGTTCCAGCCGAGTGTTCCTCGGAGCCCTGCAGGAGCACCGGGACTGACTGCCCGAGGGGTTTGTGAAAAACAAAACCTCTCCTCCATCCAGTCTCAGCCGAGAAGGCTGTCATGGGGTCCCTGGTTCTGTTTTCTTGCTAATGCTGTAGTTATTGTTGTTTGTTTGCCTTGTTATAAATATTAGTAAAGAACTGTTATTCCTATCCCCAGATCTCTGCCTGAGAGCCCCTTGATTTCAAAATTATAATAATTCAGAGGGAGGGGGATCTACATTTTTTCATCCCAAGGGAGGCTCCTGCCCTCCCTAGCAGACACCTGTCTTCTAAAACTGAGACAGAGGATGACAGACTGAAGGAAGTTCTGAACAAAAGAATCCATATACTATATAGCAATCTTAAAATTATACAAAAATGGAAACTATCAAATTAATATCAATTTATCCAAGTACTTAATCATGTCAGTACCAAATTAACAATTAATCTACAGATGTAAATACTACGTAACAGAAGTTACAAAAACATAATTGAAACTGTGTTTTGCTAATTTAGAAACTATTATTAAAATGTGTGAAAATATTGTACATAGAAAATGGATACACTGTGGGCTAACAGAGCACAATAGCAACATGTAAACTCAGGGAACTAATGCAACACAAGCAACTTATCCAGAACTTTGCAATACATTAAAGGAAGAATCCTTGATTAAAAAAAAGATGTAGATATGGAAGTTTAATTTTTCACCTTCCTAGGAGTTCTGCAGCAGTTACCACTGCTGGCTCATGCACTAAAACCCTATGGAAGTTTCAGGTAACAAGCAATTAACACTAAATGTTTGATCAGATAGGAAAGCAATCAGCTTACCTTAAAGGCAAGACATACTTTCCAAGCAATTAACTTCTCTCTTGCATTAAGAATGACTGGGTATCTCACTTCTTTTCCTTCACTGTCTCGTTCTACTTTGCCATCCAGCGCTGGAGACTTCCGGGCCTCAGCATGAGCATAGTCTGGACCTACTGTGTACACCTGTATTGAAAAAAAGGAGCTCTTGATCCAGTGTATTTAAATTAGGTTGCAAAAATTTGCAAAATATATGCATATAACTGAAACATGACAACATCAAAAGATACTAGCTGCTTTCATTATTGAAAACATTACACTAAAGTATCTTCCTCAGTGGCATTCTCTGCCTTCAGAGAATACACAACATTAACAGACAGGCTAGGATAAAACAAGAAAAAGAGTCATTATAAAAGCTCAGTTAGTAAAAATTAATTTCTCAATTATGATAGAGATGTAAATGTTTTCTTCTCCAAAACATCTGCAGAACCTGGAGAACAGGTTAATTTGAGAATTATTCAGTTTACTTACAGAAATCTGGCATCAGGACTAAGTGATTCTCTTAATTTAAAAGGTATGTTTACATTTTAGACAGGACTAAACCAAGCAAGGATCAACCCAGCTTTAAGATGGCAAGGCAGGAACTTGAGAGAACAATTGTGTTATTTCCCTACTGCAGTTTTGATGCTCACTGGAGGGTTTGGGGCATAGGCTAGAAGAGATCTGTCAGCAGCTCTCAAAAATAGGCTACGGTTTCTTTAATTAAAAAACAAACTCCAAGCACTGATAAAAAACTGTATTCAGCTAAAGCAGATGAGTTCCATAACTGCCAACTCAGTGAACTCAGGCAAGAGCCTAAGTTTAGTGAAACTGCTGAATATAAAGCTGAAAATCTTGTTAAAAAATCCATTATTTATTTGGAGTGTTAAAAGACCACTGTTGCTTGTTGACTACACTACAACTAGTCAAAATAGTCCCTACCCCTCAAGCCATTTGCATCTCTCCTTGTTGCAAGAAACTTTGCAGAAAGTTTGTAAAGCTCTTACACAAACGTCTGTAAACACGTATTAACCTATTGCAAAGTGTTACACAGAATAACCTTTGGAAGAGTACAACAGGGCATTTTTCTGAGAACATGAAAAGAGCAATCCCCTCATGCACCAAGTGATACCAAGAAGCTGACTGCAGTTAATAAAAGGGCTTTTTGGATTAGTCCTCACACTCTCCACACCTGCACCTTCTCGTCTAAATATGGTGATCTCTTACGTATATTGTAAAACATTGGTTTCACATGGTTTTAAATGGGCTTAAAATAACCAAAGTGAACAGAAAGGGAAAGGAAGTAATCTTCATCCATGGCTACTTTGTTATCTCTCTGTTTTAGCATTCTCTTATGGTACCTAATCTTTACCTCTGTTAAGAACTTAAATGAACAAAAGACTGAAAATTGTTACAGGTAAGATCCACAAAGGTTATCTTCTTTGACTCCATAAAATTTTAGCAAAGAACTTTCATTTATTAATTAGCATATTAAGATCTACTTCAGTTAGATTTCTTTATAACCTTTAACCTTCAGACAAAATATCTAAGCATCTGTTAGCATGGGAAAGAAGATGCTGTTCTGGCACTAATCAATGCAAAAAAAGACAATTATGTTGAGTAGCAAGCCTCCAGCACACAAGCACAGCTGCTCTACATTACAACTACTACATTTAGCTAGAATCAGAATTGCATTCTTTATTTATGGAATGTATTAAAATTCAATTAAAATTAATCCTTGACCAATATATACTATTAACTTTAAAAATGACAAGCTCTGAACACTTGATTGTTCTAAATATAAATAAGAATGTGCAGTTGTCATACCTTCACATCAGTTCCATCTGTAGGCATGAATTCCTCATAAATATAGGAGCCTGTTTTCCTTACACTGCTTTCAGGAGAATAAACACTGCTTCTGCTGCCAATCTGAAAGACGTATTTTTCCATTAAAAAATTCATAGGGTATGGCTTGAGAAACTTCAAAACTACCTAAAATAACACACTGAAAAAACTGAAAAAACACTTCCTGTACCAAATGAAGCAGACTTCTGATCATTGCCAAAATATTTTTGTAAGATTTTAGAAGTACACTCATGGTGTGTACTAAGAATCTGCAGAAGCTAACTATCTGCTGCAAGAAACATAGGCCTTCATTCAATTTACATGTTCCTCTGAAATTTCTCTGATCTGGCACTATTCCTGAAGCAAGCAGGACATGACAGAATTACTCTGCAATCCTGTAAAGACACCTAAAGCTTTTCAATAGCTTTAGTACAATAACCTCACCTTTCGAAAGAGCCTCTGGCTTCCACCTCCAGCTGATGTTGGATAATAAATGTAAACATTGTGGTCCTCAGCACTAACTGGTTTTTCTACAAAGGGCTTCTGGAAAATTTCTCCATTCACTTCCACATGATCTTCTCCTTCAATCAAGCTGCATTCTGAAGAACAGTACAAAGAACAGTTGTAACGGTATACTAATGGCATAAAATTATTAAGAGATCTGCATTAATTTGCAGGGTGAAATAGTAATATTCCATTACATCTTTGTTTCTCTGATTTGTTACTGACTGCACAACAACTGATGATAACATGCAGTATATGTTTGCTGTACCATGTCTATATTATTTAAATACTATGTTCTGAAATTTCTGTTGATTTCCTCAGTGTCAGATACGAAACTGTCTCCTGCAGGTGCATAAACTGCGTAAGGTGGTATATTCTGGAAATGTTTTGAAGAGAGGGAAACACTATTTGTCCTTTTTTTTCAGTACCCTTCTCTGAAATATGAGAAGCTGACAAGTGAACAGTACACAGTGTGATGTCAGATGCTACAGCACTGTCCATAGGGTTAGAACTCATATTATCTCATACTGTGGGATAGATGCACCCTGCATATAAGATTAGGTCCTCTGGTATCAGCAATCACGAATCTGGTATTCAATACTGGTTAACTGCAAGCAGCAGCTTTTATTTCACTTTTGGAGCATAAATATGTCCTTTTCTCCCTAGATCACACAACATTTTAATGCAAAATCCCCTAGACCTGTCACTGAAATCTCTAACTGCTGCTTAAAATCTTTATTTTAGTAGAAAAAGTTCAGTTTGTTTCCAGTTACACAAAAAATTAATCCCAATTTATATTCATAGTACAGCATCTACAGATATATCTAGAACAGATTTTAAATATATGGCTGCTTATTATACTCAGAAGGGGAAGTATTCAATAGCCGGACTTGTTTCTGTCATTACTTTACTAATGAAAATTACTAATAATTGTGGTTAATATAATATCCTGAATGCTGCTCTTTTTGCTGACATATTAGAAGCTCAGTTTGAGTAGGGAGGCCCTTATATTTATTCTATTCATCCTATGATGTCTGTAAGATGTATGGTGTCAAGAGTCAGACTTCTCAGTTCCATACTTGCGCTGCCTTTGGCTGGGATGGAGTAAATTTTCTCTTTAAATTACCAGCAGCTGGTATGGTGCTTTTGTTTTGAACTTGTGACAAAAAAGTCTTCATATTTTTGTTAATGCTGAACAGTGCTTACACAGCCTCAACCTCTTTTCTTTTTCACATACTGCCCCCCACAGCCAGTAGGGGTCAATCCACAACACTTCAAATGCTGGTGAAGAAACCAAACCACAAAAATGAATTGTCCAGGCAGCGAAATTTAGCTTTCCACAATGTCCATACTGTTCTCCAGTGGAAACGAAGAGATGCTAATGGTTGACATTTTTTCTCTGTTCCTCTTACCTTGGGGATTGTTTGGATCACGGTTCAGAACTGCATAGCGAGGAAGTAGAATGCCTTCAGCTTTAAGAATACCATAGACTTCTCTTCTAGAAAATAGAACAAATACTGCACAATAAGCCAGCAAATCCTGTTAATATTTGTGGATTACAATCCACGAACAAAGGAGGAGAAAAATAAACACAATTTTTTAAAAAAATCACATAGGATAAAGTTACACATATAATACTCTATTTAGTAATACAATGCTTTAGATGTCATTGACACAGCTGTACCTTTGTAGTGATCTCTTGAACATCAATAAAAATACACTTTGCAATGCCAGTCCTTTCCTCTCTGACAGTGCAACAGACATTTGCACAAAACAATTGTCTTGTTAAAGGAGATCTGCAGCTGTTCATTTTAAATTTATACAGAACAGTAACTGAAGGCTTCCAAAATAGTAAGTGTGCTCACTGTTCAGAAAGCTCCAGTGTTTATGTATTTTGCTCGCTATTGTTTTATTTATGTTTGCTATGTATGACCTCAGCTCCAAAAGAAAATCTGCTTTCACTAACCACATGACTTTTGAGTACCAACAACTTAAGTATCATCTTTACAGAAAAAAATACTCTGAATCACATGAGTTCTACAATTATCTGAGCTTGTACAGCTGCTATACATACCTATCCTATATGTATTTTAAGAGTTTAAATTTTTTTATTTGCTAAGCTTTAGAAAACTGTATCACCAAATTTCTAACCTGGTCAGTCTTCAGACAGATCAGTGTAAAAACAGCAAAACAAAAAAACATATCTGAAGATTAGTAAGTGTAACATTCACTGTAATTTTATTTAAATTACTGTACAATCATGGAATCAGAGGATGGTTTGAATTAGAAGAGATGTTAAAAATCATCTAGTTCCAAACCCTCCACTATGGGTGGGGACAATACACTGGAACTGCTGCTATGCAATAACAAGAAATTTTCACAGTCTCTGACAAAAATGGTTTGATTTAAAAGGTGATAAGTGTTATTTACCTGTCCTGTATGTGATACTGCATATTCAAGTCATTGATTATGAATGGATTCCTGAGTTTTGCATAAGCTACTGCTTTGTCCAGTGGGAACCCTAAAATGTTTATTAAGAAAAACAAATTAAAATTACAAGACACATTACCAGTAAATAGTCTGGAACCTTTGCATTAGATGACTATTTCCACTGGCTTTAAATGTACTTACCAGCGGGGCAGCTATTCTTGTATCCTGTCAGAAAGGGCTTTCTCAAGCAATGTAAACAGTACAGTTTAAAAAACTTACACTTTAAAAGTAATTTGTATTATATTAAAGAAGACAAAAGAACCACTTCCTAGGAAAACCCAAAAAAACTGCAAGACAGAAAACATAAAAGGGCTTTCAAAATTTTTAAATTATTTCAAAGAAATAATTTAGATGTCACAAGTATTTATGGTATTATTACAAGATTTACCTTTAGAGTGAAAAGAAATGAGACAGTCACATAAAGGCCAATTTTCTACTGGCTCATTCAAAATAACATCCTCTTCAAATATCACCACAGTTATATACTTAAACATGGAGAGGCGTTCAAGAATTTCCTTCATTGGTTTGGACTTTGATTTCTTAGCCATTGAACAAATCCCCACTGCAATTTGTCTTTCTGGTGGCTGGAAAGGAGGTGGGGAGAAGGGAAAAATAATTATTACGTGCTCTCAAAACACAAAAGAGTTTTAGCAGCACAATACTAGAGCAGGTATTTTCTCTTAAAATTCAAGTGCTAACTTTAATTTAATTTTTATTCAGGTAAATTGCTAGCAGATAACAAAATGCAGCATAACAGCATATCACACTGCATCTTCACAAAAAAATGTCCCAGGAGTGAAACTATTTAACAGCTCTATATTACTTTTTATGAGTATTGTTACCAGAACAAACAGATATGATCAAAAGCTAAGTCATGAGTGTCGAATCTGAACAAAATCATACTTATGGCTTACTCTGAAATTAACTGGTAATTGATTTTTCAATTATGTCATTTTTTTTTATGTCTAAATAACAGTCACAAGGCTTCTCATCATCTAATATTGTAAGTGAATTATGAAAAGGAAAACTAGAAAACAAGAAACTACTTTTGTAGATTTCTGAACTATTTAGTGCATAAACAGTTTCACTTTTTTTTGTATACTCTATATTTACTTTCACAATGAACTTTCAATATTTTTTTTCTGTCAACAGTATTTCTAAAAGCAACACCAACCTACTGTGCTCTATGAAGAAACCCAAAAACCCCACAGAGCAATTCTTTAATTCAACTTAATGCTTTTTGAAAACCTAGTCAGCTACCTTCCCTTGCCAAAACAGACTCACTGAATTGAGCTACCTCAGCTAATTTTGCACTGCTACTCTAGATTCCCAAGTTATTTTTAATCGTGGGAAGTGCTTTAGTAATGCTGTCTTGCATTTAGGCTTTTTAGATGTATTTACAATTAGAGAAAATTTAATCTATTCCATAAAGTGCAATGTTGCAAAAAGATCAACAAAGAGTTAAAAAAATTACATGACTCATGTATAATAAAATTAAGAGTTTGTCTTAAGCAAGCTAAAAACCAATAAGCACAGTGCTCAAATAAAATTCAGAACACTCTATAAAGATAATAAACTAAGGTATAATTTAAGATTAACTTATTATGCACTTTCAAAATACCAAGATAAGAAAGAACAAAAAAAAATTTTAAAAAAAATTCATTATGAAGCAATGGACAGTACACAGAAGAGAAATTCCCAATAGTTTTTTTGCTTCCAGCTAACCAAATAAATAAAACAGAAGCTTATGCCATATCAAGTACATTCCCAGAACCCAAATCAAGTCTGCAAATCATGCACATCAACCTCAGTTGCCCTGAAACTCTCTAAAATCAAGCACATCTACTTCACAGTTCAAGGTATACTTAATTTTCTAGCATCCCTCTTTTCCAAACATTACTGACAGATCATTATCTTATCAATATCATATCGAATATGATTTCTCAATTTGGAGCACCATTTCAGTACTAGACTTACGTGAGCTAATGCCATTTTTAAAAAATAATTAAATACTGAAAAACATTTTGAAAAAAAATTTTTTTAAACCACTTCTGAAAAAAATTTGGAAATCAAAAATAATGTTCTAGAACAAAGCATAGTAAACAAAGGTCCCTACAGTACTTACAGAGTCATACTCTTCCTCCTCTTCTTCCCCATGGTCATAGAAGTGTTCGTAATCTGTAGATCTGGCTGAATCCAGTAATCCTTCTCCATCCTCTCCACCCACAAAGAATCTGGGAGGATCATTCTCTGTTGCATTAACAGACATGGTTACAAGACCTATAGAAATCTATGTAAAAATTGCAGGCACTCTGGCAGGTGAGATCCTGGGCATGTTTCCTACTCACTCAGGAACACCAAAGCTCCTGCTCTTTGATATTGCTTGTGCAGTGCTGCCACTATGATTGCGTTGTTTACCAGGCACTGTTTAACTTGTTATCATCTGCTCATTACTCATTAGAATTGCTGCTTCAAGAAACCAACAATGTGCTGCTTTTTCCCTGAGATGGTGTGACTTTTTAACCTACAAGAAATAGAGGAGAAAAAAAAAAAAAAGACACACTTGATTAGGGGAGATAAAATAAACTCTTCTCATTTAGGAAAAAGTGTTTGGACAATTATGTACCTCTGAGCAAAGCATCAGAAAGAAAACAGTGTGCGCCACACAGAGTCTACTTTTAGAGGTATATTTAAACATGGGGAATAGTTTCAAAATTATTATCAAACTACCGATGCATAAATTTTAGAAATAGACAATGTGACTCAGAAATAAAAGCTGGCAAATGCATTTTTTTCTTAGCTTAAGAAGGCTTAAGTGGAGAGTATATCTTTTACATGAGAAATACGACAAAAATATTCTCCAATATTGACATTATTTTACTCACTATCCATGTTATCAACTGTTTTTTTCCACAGAAGTTTTGCGACCAAATGGCAATGGCAAACAGGCAGTAGTTCTAATAAAAAACATATAGCCGCCATTAGGACTGTCAAAAAAACCCCCTAGTCTTAAAACTTGATTGAATCTTTCCTACGAGAACAAAATGTATGTGACAGCTTGCAACAGTGTTGCCTTATTTTCACTCCGAAAAATTAGAAATTACAGAGATGGACACTAGCACTGCCTTCCAAAATAAGGACTTCTAACTACTGATGTAGCCGTGAACACATATTGTACCCTTTTAACTGTCATGTGAAAATAAAATATTGGCAAAATAACTTCTACACAGAAACAGACCCACAGATCAGTCATCTGTTGTTTTTGCAAGGTAACTGATGCTGTGAGACATATATGGCTTTATAAGAGTCATTATAATGCATCACCACTTCTTAGAAAATTAACAAGCAGTTACTTCTTTAGAAGCTCGTCTGATCCAATGGGTTAAATGGTTTATTTGCAGGTCATTACGCAAGTGCTATTCAACAATGATGTCTCAGCAGAACTGAATTTGTTTTTAAATATTAGTCAAAATTACTTTGGCTGTCCTATGAACTAAGTGAAGCAATAGTAAATTCCCAGTGGTGATAAACCGTTCAGCTTCCTGTCTAGGGGAGGGTAAGCAAGGCAAAAGTTGCCCAGAAAGAATTTGTTCTAATTAAGAGGCTGTGGATCAATAATACCGTTTTGGTTTTGGAGACAAATTTCAGGAGACAACACCCTGGAATGAACGTCTCATCTAAAGAGAAAAGGCCCTTCAGTTAACTCCTATTTCTTCTGCCAATGAGAGAAATTGATACTGTAATAAAAGGAATTGATTCCTGCTAACTAAATTGTAACTGTTATTAAAGTTATTATTACAAGCAATCAAAAGAATCAGTATTACAAGACAGATACACTCTGTAATACATAACATAAATAAATTTGTGCTAAAGTTATAATCTTGTCTGATAAAATTCCTAGCGTATTTCCAGGAAACCTTCTCTGACGAGATTATAGTGATATGCAGCAAGGCCAACATGAATATGCGTCTGTAGGGAGCATGCTTTCTAGAAACCTCTGTCTGGTAAGATTGTAACTCATGAATGTTCATCTGGAAGAAGTGTATTTCCAAGAAACCTGACAAGATTACAACATATACACCCAAAACAACATGAATATTTGTCTACAAGGAGCGTATTCCAAGAGACCCCCAAAAAGCCTGAAAACATATAAAAAGCACCTAGGGGCAGTTGAAGTTTGTGAAGCATGGTGAAGCAGTGCTAGAGAGCCCTTCCCTGCCTCATCTGATGCTGTTTGCCTGGTACAGCATCGAACTGAATTTTGCTTATGGCTTCTCACAATTGTATTTTTTAATAAATTCTTTTCTATTAATCAAATTTGCTACTCATTTATAACACACCCCTTTACAGATGTCACATGTTAAAACTGAGGTACAGGATGTGGTTTGGAAGACAAGTGGTGTCCCAAGACGAAAACAGCCTTGAGATGGACAAAATTAGAACCACTTTAGGCATTGGGCCTAAAAATCAGTAAATATAAGACTAATTAGTAGACTTACATAACAACGCTTAGTACGCACACGCAAACCTGTAAGGTTATCCAAAGGACAAAGAGGAAGAGAAGCCTTTGCCAAAAGACCACCAAAAGAAGACTGAAGACCCCCTAACAACAAGTGAAGCATGTGCTGTGAAGAACAGTGATGTAAAATCAGAAAAATCGGAAATAGGAGGAAACTTACAGGAAACAGTAATGAATATGTATAAGCACACAGTGTGTAAGTTTAGCTTGAAGTGCCTTGTTTTGTACGTGAGGCAGGGTGGGAAGCCTCTGTACCCCGGTCTGTTTCGGATGTGAGGTGGGGTGAGAAGCCCTCCCCGTACCCCAGTCCGTTTTGCTTATGCTTTAATCACACTTAATTACTGGCAAATTATATATAAATTGTAATTTTTACTAAATTGTATTCTATTACTAAACTGTATCCTTTTATACCAAATTACTATTCAATTTACTAAATTGTATTCATTTTTAATTAAACTGTTATTAACTCAAGGGACCTAGCTGCCAAAATTCTAATTTCATTTATAACAGTATCAGCAGGTGAAAGTGAAAAAAAAAACCCAAAACACCTGCTTATTACAACAAAAAACCAAACCAAAACAAACAAACAAAAAAAGCAGGAGGATGCCTGTAAGGCACAGAAAAAGACTGAATAAATGCTAGATATGAATTCCCAGAAACCTAGCCTCCATACACCCAGACATCCACCAACAGCAGTGAAAAAAAAAACTCAGAAAAATGCCGGGGAAAAAAAAAATACACAGGCTGATCGTGTGGCCCAGAAAACAAAATGACAGCTGGACCCTTTTGTCTCTGGGAACGGGAAGAGAAGATCACACAGCAGCCCGGAGCAGAGCAGGTGGGAAAACTGTTGAATTTCTGGCGTGAGTCTCCTTCTCGCAGCAGACGAAGTTTGTGGATTTTGATGTCCTTTCTCATATTGGTTCAGCTCCTCTGAGGCCTCGGGCTCAGGGCGGTCCTGCCGGCTCCCCGGACAGGCCGAAAACAAAACCAAGCCAAACCGAAAACAGTTCAAGGGAGCAAAAATGCAAAAAGCCGCTGAGACGATTCCCGATACAGCTTCCAGGCTAGGGGTAGGCAAAGGGAAAAAAAACAGCCTTGCTTCAAGCTCGCAAAAAAACCAATCCAACAAAAAGAACGATGCAAGGTCCCCGGTCCACGCTGTCAGGAGTACCCGCAGAGATTGAACAGAGCCCGCGCCCAGCGTTCCCGGGCTCTAACCTCCGCCCCTGGTTCCTCTTACTGCAGACATTTCTGGGCATAAAGCAGATGATTAGGGAATAAAGTATCATCATAAAATCACCCCAAGGCATATACAGAAACATCGGATCCAGAAGTTGAAACTGAACTCTGAGCATAAGGATCCTGGGCTCACGGAAGAGAATTAAAAAGATTTATTTCTTAAAATTATTTGCTACGTACCCGTTGTCCTTCAATTCTGATTACAAAAAAATTACTTTCCCTTAGAATGTGAAACTGCAGCTGTTTGCCTTTCATGCAATAAGAACAAGATGAAATTTCAAACACCTAATTCATCTAACCTTAACAAAAGTCAGAAATTGGGTGTTCAGGTAAATTAATCCTGTTTATGACACGATAAAGAAAGAGAGCTTCCCAAATCCTATTTCTAGCAAGCTTCAGAAAGGCAGAGATTATTGCCAAAATATACTGGCAACTAACACAGAATTTTATAAAGGTATTAAAACCAAAAAAGGCCCCTGATAAAGCCAAAAAATGAAGTTTGTCTTGTATCACCCATTACCCAAAATACGTACATTGGTAATCAGTTTCTTAACAGCTTTCTAAAACTGAAGATTTTCTCATAATGAAGGAAGAACAACAACTTGAAACATTCAAATAAATTGAAGGTCTTAAAACAAGACTTAGGCTTCTTTCCCCTACCTATTCCTGCAGTATACTTTGTGAGAGCAGCAGAAGTGATGAAGTTTGTGTACAATTGGTGACTGGTTATTTCATGGGGATATCCAGCATTAACTAAGTCTCTCTAGCCCAAAAGGATTACTTCTCAAAGCAAGTAAAACCCACACAAATAGCCTGAAGGGAAAGAGCATTATACTTGTCTACAAATGGCAGACAGATACAACCTGACACACTTCCCCAACAGACGTATCTGAAAACTCATTGTTCTGCTACCTTCCCCATTCAAGAATCTGGAGACTGTTGGTGTTACGTGTGGCAAGTACATTGCAATAGGGCTTCATCTGCAGAAAAGACTTTGAACAGCCACATAGCTCGCTTGGAATTAACAGATTATTTTCTCCAAGATTAACAATGTTCATCCATTTGAAGGCAAATGAATAACTAGATTGCCACTCCATGCTACTTTCACTAGACCCCAGAGCTTTCATACTGTTTGTGAAAGTAACACCGAAGGCTACGGATCAGAAAAGGATACTGATGTTTTTCAGGCTTATAAACTACTGCATGAACTCACTGAATTGCATATAAAGTGGCATTCTGACTGCTGATGGTTGCCAGTTTATCTCCCTGACAGCAGATACTGTAAACTACTGTCATTACCATAAATTTGTGTCGGGATATATTAAAAAAATTACCTAATTTTTAGAATTAATGCTTTCAGAGATGGGAATTAAAATTCTTATCCCACAAATGGTACAGTAAAAATTGAGCTATTCCCTTCTTTCTTGTCATATGTGAAGTAAAAATAAAGCAAGAAAAGAGACAAGCAAAGAGAAATACGAATTGACTGGAACTACAGTGAACAACTTACTCAAGTCCTCCCAAACACCATCTACAGTTATCTGACATCAATAATACAGTAAGATCATGCTTGAGTAAACACATGGTTCTCTAGCTGTATGCCAAGGAGAAATAATAAATGGCAAAGCAAGAAGATGGTGCTGTCTTCCTGCTTTAGAAATACTATTAGTGCTGATGGAAGAAGCTTCCAGTACACAGTGCCCTATGCAGAATTCCATCTTGCTGCCCCTTGAGCATGTAAGAGTCTTCCCAGCACCATTTTTCTGTATTAAGAAGTCAACAGCAGCAGCAACAGCAATATAAGGGGCAGAGATACTTTATGTTTAGATCTTGCCCTTGGTACATGAGCATAAGGTCACTGGACAGTGAATGTTAGACAATTATGTACTCATCTCAGCCATGAATGACTGCACTGTAAGCAAGACAAAACCCAAAGCTTTGTGTTGGAATATACACTGACCTAATTTCCAAAGAGTCAATAACGTCCAGACAACCACCTCCCACTGTGCTACGACCTCTCCAGGTAAAATTAACTAGACTATGTTCTGTTTAAACATCACCTGTTACACAAGACTTTTCTTCCACAGTTTATAGATCAAAAAAAATCTTCACTTTTGAGAAATGTACTTGTGTTCTTAAAAATATTTTCAACCAAATGTGTCACCTGTCTGCAACACGGTATGTCTTGGCCAAAAG